TACATCACCCAGAACGGTATGCATCACGAGGAACGTTATACATCCAGAACGTTGTACATCACCAGAACGTTATACATCACCAGAACGTTATACATTATATAAGAACGGTATACATCACCAGGACGTTATACATCACCAGAACGTTATACATCACCCAGAACGTTATACATCACCAGAACGTTGTACATCACCAGGACGTTATACATCACCAGAACGTTATACATCACCAGAACGGTATACATCACCAGAACGGTATACATCACCAGAACGTTATACATCACCAGAACGTTATACATCACCAGCACGTTATACATCACCATCACCAGAACGTTATACATCACCAGCACGTTATACATCTCCAGAACGTTATATATCATCAGAACGTTATACATCACCAGAATGGTATACATCACCAGGACGTTATACATCACCAGGACGTTATACATCACCAGAGCGTTATACATCACCAGCACGTTATACATCCGCAGAACCTTATACATCACCAGAACGTTATACATCCACCATCACCAGAGCGGTATACATCACCAGAACGGTATACATCACCAGAACGTTATACATCACCAGAGCGTTATACATCACCAGCACGTTATACATCACCCAGAACCTTATACATCACCAGAACGTTATACATCACCAGAACGGTATACATCACCAGAACGTTATACATCACCAGAACGTTATACATCACCAGAAGCACGTTGTACATCACCAGAGCGGTATACATCCACCAGAACGTTATACATCACCAGAACGTTATACATCACCAGCACGTTGTACATCACCAGAGCGGGTATACATCACCAGAACGTTTTACATCACCAGAACGTTGTACATCACCAGGACGTTATACATCATCGCAGAACGTTATACATCACCAGCACGTTATACATCACCAGAACCTTATACATCACCAGAACGTTATACATCACCATCACCAGAACGGTATACATCACCAGAACGGTATACATCACCAGAACGTTATACATCACCAGAACGTTATACATCACCAGCACGTGTCAGGTATAGGGATGGATCAGTCCCAGCATCAATGATCACTAATCCTGTGCATATATGCGTTGTTTGTTTCAGCAGCAGCAGCGGGACAGGGCAGCCGCACCAATGCCGCCATCGTACGAGGAGTCGCTGTCGACCACAGCGAAGGTAGGGCCACCACCGGATGTCGACAACAATCGCCATGAGGAGAAGTGAGCGGATCCTGCAGGAAGGCAACCTGAGTGACAAAGCTGTAATACTGAAACAACTGAACAAAATTGTGATAATTACAAAAATTGAATGGTCCAATATTTCCAAAGAGCTTCCTACGACTCCGAGTTAAAATATCTCCACAATAGAAAAATGGAGAACATTTACAAAGTCAAATAGTAAAATCGACTCTATTTTCGGCAGAAATTTCTTTCGAATATCAAAGCAATTCTCTGCTTTAGTTATATGAGAACAAAATAGCTTTGGATGAATGAGTCGTATTTTAATTGAAGAAACATTTGGGTAATTTGTAGAAATGATGCATAAAGAGTTTTGAATCAATATTGTTTGATATTTTGATTCAGATGTGATGAATCGAATGTTCCGTATGTAGTACCCATGGCGTGATCCATAAACATGTCAGTTACCAAGAAATGTTTACCATTTATATGTTTGTCTTGTTGTACAAGGCTTTGAGAGGCGGGTCTTTTCTTGTCATTTTCATTGTCCACAATCATTGTTTTCATCAAGGGTGACGTCATATCATGTTCCTACGTCATAATGACGTTACACATCTCTGTATTATATTTCATCATCATTGTATTGTTGAAGTACTTGTAAATAAATCATGAATTTGTAGGTTTTTTTTATTAACATTGAATGTAACTTTTATTCCCGCAATGTGGGTAATGAGTTTGTGAATCTGTCTTATATGTTCCTATAACTTGGTTGATTGGTCCGGTTTTGTTTGTTGTCGTTTAACGCCGCACTCAGCAACATTCCAGCTTTATGGCGGTGGTCTGTAAATAATCGAGTCTGGGCCAGACAATCCAGTGATCAACAACATGAGCATCGATCCTCACTATTGGGATACGATGACATGTGTCAACCAAGTCATGAGCCTGATTCAACCCAAACCCAATTGTCGCCTTTTACGACATGCATGGGTTAATGAAGACTAATTCTAACCCAGATCTTCACAGTGTCCCAGAACTGTGAACATAATGTCAACATTCAAACCATGACTCCATAGTTAGTAATTTAAGACTTGAATTTTGCCAGAAAAACAACACTTAGGCGTAGTGGTGCAAATTTAGGTAAGTAGTACCGAGTTTAGTGATATACCGCTTTTAGCAATATTCCAGCAATATCACTGCAGGGGACACCAGAAATGGGCTTCACATTGCATTTTTTACACATGTGGGGAATCGAACACGGGTTCCTTGGTTAAAACAGAGCCAACGTCTTAACCACAATCTACGGTGATCACCAGCTCCAAACTATTTTACTTTGTAATGTTTCCGATGCTAAGCATTTGAAATAACCTGGCGATTCCTATAATAAAATTCTAAAGCGAAAACGTATGGTATCTACAATAGTTTAATCAAAACAGTTACATAAATAAAACTGACAAATCTTGAGATCCATAAACAATCGAGGCGAAGGAAAACACGTGGCATGCAGTGAATGACGTGATTGTTGATGTAGCATGTAGTGAATGACGTGATTGTTGATGTGGCATGTAGTGAATGACGTGATTGTTAATGTGGCATGCAGTGAATGACGTGATTGTTGATGTGGCATGCAGTGAATGACGTGATTGTTAGTGTGGCATGCAGCGAATGACGTGATTGTTAATGTGGCATGCAGTGAATGACAGGATTGTTAATGTGGCATGCAGCGAATGACGGGAATGTTACTGTGGCATGCAGTGAATGACAGGATTGTTAATGTGGCATGTAGTGAATGACAGGATTGTTAATGTGGCATCGTAGTGAATGACGGGATTGTTAATATGGCATGTAGTGAATGACGGGATTGTTAATGTGGCATGCAGTGAATGAGCGTGATTGTTAATGTGGCATGTAGTGAATGACAGGATTGTTCATGTGGCATGTAGTGAATGACAGGATTGTTAAATTTATGCACACAACTTGACACACCCACAAAGTCAGCAGCCAATCAATAATAAGAGCATCAAAACAAAGTTTCGAGGCCTGTCAATCACGACTAAAGGAGCCGAGATAAAATTCCAGTTGTCGTACTGTATCAATCTGGAGTACATACATTAACCTCAAATTTATGTTCCAAGCGAGCAACAAAACCAAAAAATGTGCGACAACAACGCCCTGCCCGTGTGTTGTGTCATTCCTGGTTTTTATTCCTGAATATCACAATTATACGTTTACAGAGACAACACATTCCTTCCATGGAAAGTGGGATTGTTCCCTGATGTGGTAAACGCATTATAGTGTAAACTGCAGTTATAGTGTTCGGCAGATTTTATGTAGCTCATCAGTAAGTTTTATCTAATATTTTAGTGGTATTAAAATAGAGAGAAAAAATTAACTCCGCTTGACTTTGGCGGAAGTGGTTGTACATGTGTTTTGATAATTTCACTCGAAGTGTAACGACCAACCAGAAAGGTATTAAGTTCACAAGCCAAGATATCAACAGTAAACGTCGTCCCGCGTGGCTACATTTGTTACATTATTTGGAAATGAACCAAATAACACGTGACCAGTTCAGCCAATTGAATACATGCATGATAATGAATACATTGCAAATAGATTTCTACCATCTAACATTTGCTTACATTCAGAAAAACCAGAAATGACTACGCTTATCCAATTATTATATATCAATAAAACATGCACATTTGTAATTATCATATCACCACAGCATTCCCACACTGTAACACGGACACCATATATCCTATAGCAAGTTTTATAGTTTACGATTTGTCATTTTGTTTGAAAACATCTATGCCATATTCACTTGTGATATTTATGTTTCCGTTGATCAATGTGATCGTAGGAATTTATCATGTAATCAAAGCAATTGTCTGTGATAAAAAGCTAATTACGGCGTGAAAACAATTATGTCATACCTCAATGATATACGTATGCTGACCATATGTTATGTTTGGGATTACACCTATGGCTGAGAGCGGTCTAGGCGTCTGACTTTTGTGTGCTGGCGATTAGGTGCCTGACTCTGAGGGTGTGGGTTCAGATCCCGGATGGGACTCAACCCAACAAAGTACTAGAATCTGTACTTTCTATAAAGAAGTGCAATCCCAAATATAACCTATGTTACATTTTGACCATTTTCTAAATGGACTTGTGTATTTCGTATGTTGACCAGATATCCAAATTACATAACAGGAAGTGGGAGTTTTCTGTGAGTGTGCGTGCTTTCGAAAGTTAAATATCAGTGAAATTATACCGGAGATTTGACACCAAATCATCGCATTGATATTTATTAAAGTTTAAGCAATTTGGCAAAAAGTCTGTCAAAGTATTTCCAAGAAACAATAACCCGAGGAACGTTTTCTTCAAGTGCTAAAAGAGGCTGACAATTTTGTTTTGGACCTTCGGGCTCAGGGAACATAAACAAACATCGAGGGTACATCAACCCGGCCCCCTCGTGACCAGTGAACAACTTATAATGTATATATCACCCAAAATTACTTCTCATGTACCACTTGTTTGGCAACGATATTAGAATCTATGTCGAAACGTCGCATATACAGAATAAAGAAATTGTATATCCATAAACATTGTCCTCATTCTTCATCTCTTCAACTTCTAGAATGCCAATCAAAGAAGACATCAATGTGTGCTGAAATACCGAAATGTAGAAATGACGGGTTCTCATAGTGCTGACAAAACTCTCTTTTTCAGTAAAACCATGGCAATGAAATATATTGTTAATGTCACCGGCTGGGAGACTATTCTACACACTTGACTTTATCTTTGATTTCTTTGGTTTCTTTATTGTCTGGAACATAGATGGTAGTGTTCTTCAGTCTCCATTCCGTGGCATTCTTGTAGTATTCCTCTATTCTCTCCCTGGGTAAGGCCGACGTCGACGTTTCTGGGGATTTGAAACGTCTCTTCTCGGAACAGATCTCTGAGTTCCTTGTATTTGACCGTCCGACCAAACACAGTGATCTGGTAGAGGAACATGTCCAATGTCCTCATCAGCTCTGGTTTCACATAATAATATGTATGTATGTGGAAGCTTATAGTCAGCTGTGAGGCAGCACTCTGGACCCTGCGTCGAAAACAGAATTAACTCAGCAACGCAACTGCATGATTACATATTTGATTTTTCTTTATTATTTTTATTGGGCCCAGCAATTTGTTAAAATACCGATTGCACGATAACCCCAAATTTAGTGGTTGTATAATTCTCGTTACACGTCCAGTAATGTATCCGACCACCATGACCAGGATCGGTTGTATCATTGCTTCATTAACTAATAATCAACATTAAACCCTAATGATACATTAAATCCTTAATGCATCATTAGTTAATAGCATCATTAAAACGGTTGTATCAAACACTTATTAGCACGTATCATTACCCTAATGACGTCTAATGTAAATATTTTCATTAAATCCGGGGATTCCCCTATTTTTTTCCCACAATTCCGCACTGTAAACATGTAAGTGGGTACTCTCGGTCGTCTGTCAAAATGGCATCTTTAGGGCTAAACCCTCGGAACAAAAACAAACATTTCGACTGCTGTGAAGAAACACGTCTAAATAATTCTGAAACGTCGCCGATAAACCTAGAATCGGTTGGGATGTTTTGGAAAATACACGAACACACAAACGCCGAAGTGAGCTTTCCGTCATATTGGATAGTGTTTACAAAATCAGAAGTTTCGCTAAAGGCCGGTCATGAGGACGCCAATTACATCCTGTATATTTCATATTCAGTTGTGACAAACGCATCACTGAATTCCTCATACATTTTAGAATCAAATTCCAAATGGTCTTTGTCACTAAAACCAGGTGTCTAAGAAAAACAGAAACATATTGGGTGTGAATACGGGACGTTGTGCTCGATTACACAGCGCTTGCTAGAAATATAAACAAAGCAAAAATCAAGATTTTATACTGTGCAGCTTTTTCTCAATTTTTTAGACATCAGTTCGTCTATTCGTAGCATGCATGAGCTCAATAATTTTAGAATATGCACGGAAAGAGTATCGTAAGCAAGAACTAGAAAACTTAAAACAGATATAATACTGAAATTTGATATATTCATACGAAAGTTCTGTGCAGCGTGACGCCATGCGAGACGCAAAATCATGAGAGAAACGACATGAAGCAATTATCGTCATTTCTGACTTTTTCAATGAACACAATAAAAGCAAATAACCATACGCAGATAGTCAGAATGTTTCCGATTGCCCACATCATACATTTATGGACAAAGGTTCCCTCATATCCACGAAGCTGCCATTTCATGAGAAATCGGTCATCGGTAGTGATGTCATACATCAACATTGTTGGACATATGTAGCAATTTCTTTGAGGTGAAGGTCAGTTGAATAGAGTAAACACAATCACACTGTCCCTGCGAATTACACTTGTATAATTAATGTATGCTTTGCGTATCGTTCACATATGATTTCATGAAACTAATTTCATTATCAACATTTAGTATTTTAAACCTATAGTAAAGACTGGCATAATAAATGAGAATTATTTATTTATTTCATGAAAGGTATATATGCACACGTTTTTAAAGGGTATGTCTTGTTCAATGAATTTGTTTATGTTTTTGTTATAAGACAAAACAATGGCGTATAATCATTCGCCAAGGTGCGCGTTTGTCACAAATGTTTTGAGTACCATTGTTTTCGATATTTCCGCGAACAAAACATCCTTGAAATTATTGTGTCCTTATTCACAGCAAATTCTCGCCAAAGTAATCTGAGTTAAAATGACTTAGTATAAACATACCGGGTGAGGGCCCCTTATCTTTAAAAGCGTGTGACCTTCATGTAACCATTTGACGTCATAGGGGAAAATCCATTTCAACATATTGCGAGTCACTTTTAAGATTGAGTGTATAACGTTATACATAAGCACACAAACTAATTTAATACATACTTATGTCATTTCAGGTATCAGGCAGAATTTTGTTCGATCACACTTTCCGTAAATATGCCAAATTGAAAATATGAAGTAGCACAGCAGAAATTTACTGTTTTTAACGCATAACAAAATTAAACCATTTTATACCATGAGATACGACATTTAATGCTCTACATTTCTGTGTAATTTTATAGCTGTAGGTAGATCCAGTGCGGCGTAAAGCGAAATTCTGGCGCAATGTTCATTTTCAAGGAAGTTAAATGACGCTCTAATGATACCCCAGGACCTTCATTAAGTTAATGACGCACTAATGACAACAGAGCATCATCAAAACGTTAGTACAACAAATTTAATGATATATTGGTTTATGAACGTTTAATGGCACGCTAATGATTCATTAAAGTTTGATACAACCGGGTCCAGGTCATTGACGTTGATTGACGTTAACTGGGTAGCCATGTTTGTTAATAAAATACGATTAGACATTTCTTTTACTATAAATCATGTTGTTCAGTAAACGACGCCATGTTCTTCACGAAGTAGGAAATGAAGCATTAAATAAGCATCAAAATCCAAATCCTGTATGTTTTTGTTCTATTTTAAAATCTCGAAACAGTGCGATTACAGCACGCTCAATTCATCAATAAATCGATGACATATTATGAATGAACGTAGTGGTGTAGAAAGTAGTTCCTACATCCAATGATTATGTACATATATACGATCAACCAATCAACGTCGAGAATAACTAAATTGCACACTGTGCAAATTTCAAGAAGATATTACACGGGATCTCCTCACCCGTATGGGTAATAATGCAATGTAATCACTTTCATCTATAACTACAAAATATATTAATCAGAATACGTATTGTCCACCGCTGCCATTGTCCAATGACCATTGTCCCACCAATTTCAAATATTACTGAAGACACCAACCGCCAGTAACTCCTGAATGTATTATTCTCTGACTCAATGACAAAAAAACAATCAATTTTACACGTACAATCCGCTTGATTTCATTTGAGACCTATGAATTGCTCACTAACACAAAATCTAATAATTGCAACAAAACCAAACTTGGCACAGTCCACAATCGCAGACCAACTCTGATAATTTGTCTCATAATTTTAGACACCCGAAACACAAAACTTGTTTAACGAACGATCATTATTTTGTTGCAACTTTTCGCTATTTTGTACGAGGGGTACCACTTGCTGGTAGAGCAACCAGGTGTGCGAGAGTTGCACGTGTGAAACTGAAATTTCACTACACACGTTTATGTATGACAGACATAGAAGTACGAAATAATGATGAATAATGACGTCTAGCGCTTTGGTGAAACACACGAACAACAGACACAATCCGTGTCAACACGATCACAAGTGTCTGGCTTGTCCAACTCTGACAAGCAATTGCCCTTATAAATGACAGGGGTCATTTGATATATTAGCAACAGATGCTTAAAGGGTATGACAGCCTGGGTGTAAGAGGAATTTTCAATACATTAATTTATAGCTGAAAATGTTTTCTTTTCGAAAATGGCCTGGAAAAGATCTAAACAGGCAAATGTCCACAGTGAAGACTAGGTTAATTTAGGTCACGAGGGTTTATTCCTTATATTCAGGTACAGTCAGGTTATTACACATTATTTCCATGAGTGTAATTAAGAAATACACTTCGCTCTACCACCATGTATAGTGTAATAAAACACACTTTTGCCCTGAACTATTTTAGCTTCAAAAAGCACGAGGACGCTTGCGTAAGTTTAGATCAGTACATCCAGAGGAAGTTCAGTAGTCAAGCGACATTCCACAATTGAATTGTGGGAATGTAAACATTACGAACGCTACCGTGTCGCTGAAAACTTGTGAGTCGAAATGACACATTTTAACCGTCGTAAAACATAACACTTGGCAATGTTTCCACCAGTGATGTTAGCTGCGTGAAACAACAGCAAAACAAAGAAACTGGATGCAACGGTGTAGTTTACTGTAGGGAGGCCGTACGAGAGGCGATGACAACTGACATGCAGCGTTACGTCGCTTACATTGTGACGTAATGTAAAATGGTTCGATTACGAGGGGCACACTAGAATGGCGCAGTGACGGGATAACGTCATTGAATTGTTACGTCATCAAAAACTATACCTTTATTGTCTGATAATGTAGTTTTTTCGATTGTTCTAACCGCTAGGCATCTTAGAATCCAAGACAGAGGGTACTGAACGACCTTCCGTGTAATTCCAAGTTTATTAAACGCGTTGGTGATTCGGTATCAAAGCGATTTTGATAGTAAACCTTTCACGAGTTTAATATAAATGGTATTTAATGGAAGAGTTTGGTATTCTGTTTGTTACTCTCAAACTGAATTGATAGAAACTGCCTACAGTGTGATGACTCTCATATAAATTTTCTGCGAGTCAAGCAAGGTATAATGCCATTACGACAGAGGCATGAGCTTTGTGACGTCATAAATGCAACCATTCCGACGTCATATGTCTAGCGGTATTACACTAGTGTAATATTGCCGCATATTACACTGTCGAATCTTCCACGGACGATTAATAAAACAATTTTATATTTCCTGCCATGAGGCAATTCGGCCATCTTGCATTGTTACATGTGAAACTAGGAACTGAAAAATTTAAAACTATACCTCAAAGGCAGGAAATTAACTTGATTGGAAGAAACGAAATGGGATTTAATAAACGAAAATAATGTCCTCCAGAACAGAGAGGATGCGCTCGAATAACAGAACCTTGCCCACCATAACAGAGTAACGTCAAAGCCAAATTGATCATTCACCGAACAAGAACAAGAACATCAGCTTACCGAGAGTGGTATTTGTGGGCGGAGAAACCGGCAACAAAGTTGGCCTGACCAACTTGGAAAGTTTCCGGAGCTGCAGCGTGAAAGGTTGATCTGCTGTACTTGTCTAGTGATGAATGGGTGGACACTGCCACCTTGTACATACATCGCCCTGTCTCGATGTCCTCACTTCCGCCTGCGTGACGACACCTGCCAGGTACCCTGTAGCCCTGCTCTACCAACCGACGTAGGGCCTCCCTACTAACAGCGTATCCTGCTCCACCACCCATGTACCCATTGGGTGAGAAGGGTGCAAAATGGTCTCCAACGTACACGGGTTTGCTGGAGTTGAGATGAGGCTAGGAGAAATTTCAGATTTTCCACAATGACATAAGTGTCATCATCCGCCTTTAGGAACCAGTCATACTGGTCTAGTGATGTTGTGTACATGTGTGTGAGAGGCAAGAGACGATTTTTCTCAGTTAGGGTTCCATGGGCGTCGGGTATGTTCACTCCTAAAATGTCGGGCCCTGTTTTGTTGGTGGTCATGACATACAGCATCTTGTCACATCTTCTACCCCACGTCTCGTTCACGGCTTTCAGCTTCGTCTCCATGTTCTTCTCTCCCTGGTGGTGATGAAGCAGGCCAGGCGGACCTTCCTGGACAGAACTTCAGCCAGGGAACTGTCCACGGCTACTGCAACAACAGGACAGTAGTAGGGTGTTAGGACAATTATTGCAACAGGACAACAGTAGGGTGTTAGGACAATTATTGCAACAGGACAACAAAGGGTGTTATGACAGTTATTGCAACAGGACAACAGTAGAGTGTTAGGACAATTATTGCAAGAGGACAACAGTAGGGTGTTATGACAATTGTGCAAAGAGTAGAACAACAGTAGGGTGTTATGACAATTAGTGCAACAGGACAACAGTAGGGTGTTATGACAATTAGTGCAACAGGACAACATAGGGTGTTATGACAATTAGTGCAAGGGACAACAATAGAGTGTTAAGACAGTTAGGCTGTTACATAACTGGTTTTGGAACCTGCAACCCTTCGCTTACGTGGTTGGCTGTTTATCTGCTATCTCCATGAGATTTTTGCAGTATTTATGTCTCAAAAATATAAAAGTTGTTAACAAACTATCATTCAAAATTAACAAGGTTCACTATTTGTTACCTGGTTTTTTGAGGGTTACGGGGGAGGAGTGATAATATTTTCATGACTACAAACCCAGCGTACAATTTTGACACATTAATGGTTTTGATCAAGGTGAAGTTTCTCCAACAATATAATGGGCCTAAAGCCCTGCTGGAAGTAGGAAATAGTTTTGTTTTTGTTTTGTTGTTGTTTTTAATCAACCAGATATATTACTCTGCATGTTAACAAAATGTTCATGAGCAACTCCTCCCTAGATACCCAGGGTAACCCAACCATTGCTTACCGAAATAGTAGTAGTCAGTTGAATGGTTTTGCATAATGTCAAAACTTGATACATAGTAATCTTTGAGAAGTAGATGATTCTTGTATATCTACCACATCTACGGTTTTCTCAACAGTAGTAAAAGCTTCAATGACTGAAAGCACAACCCTATTCTCCATTCGTCTGGATATAATGCTATATTTTGTAAAGTCACTTTCTAACAGACCAAAGGTGCCGACAGTATTGTATCATTGGATCTTTCTAGCAGATTCTGATAATAAAGATGATGTGATATCTGTGGATTTCAACTCACATGTGAAATCTTGGTTATTCCTTTCTCCGATAGTGACGTCATCCTTGTCCTTTACAAACAGGTCAAGGCCGTCTTCCGTCAGGCGGATGTCGTCTTCACCAGCGCTATGATGAAATACGTTCCCAATAGTCGATTCGTGTAGATGGGTCAAATCTCTTGAAAAACCTGTTGCTGAGTAATGACCTGGAAATATATTCATGAAAAACTCATTCATAACAAATAACTGGGTGTTAAACTGTTGACAGAGTACTGAAACTGCCTAACTGTGGTGTGTTAAACAGTTGACAGAGTTCTGAAACTGCCTAACTGTGTGTGTTAAACAGTTGACAGAGAACCGAAACTGCCTAACTGTGTGTGTTGAACAGTTGACAGAGTACTGAAACTGCCTAACTGTGTGTGTGTGTTAAACAGCTGACAGAGTACTGAAACTGTCTAACTGTATTGTGTTAAACAGTTGACAGAGTACTGAAACTGCCTCACTGTGTGTGATAAACAGTTGACAGGGTACTGGAAACTACCTAACTGTGTGTGTTAAACTGTTGACAGAGTACTGAAACTGCCTAACTGTGAGTGTTAAACAGTTAACAGAGTACTGAAACTGCCTAACTGTGAGTGTTAAACAATTGACAGAGTACTGAAGCTGCCTAACTGTGAGTGTTAAACAGTTGACAGAGTACTGAAACTACCCTAACTATGTGTGTTAAACAGTTGACAGAGTACTGAAACTGCCTAACTGTGTGTGTTAAATATTGACAGAGTAAGCAATGCAGCCCCGCA